AACATGGCTGTTCACCCATGCACATGCGCCTCTCACATCGAACTAAGGTCAGACCCAGGACTTATTTCTTTCCCTAGCAAGTAGGAAAGAGCCAGGCATGCAGTAGGTCTGCAATAAATATTTCAGAAGTAAAGAATGACTCTTTCCACTCTCCAAGAAAGTCATTGTTTTTTTTAAATTGTGCATTACAGTTGTACATAATGGTGGGATTTATTGTTACATATTCATACATGCACTTAGTATAATTATAATTTGGTCAATATCATTCCTCAGTATCTCTCCTTTCCCTTGCAAGTCATTGTTCTAAATAAAATCAACCACATGGTCTCTCTCTCTCTCTCTCTCTCTCTCTCTCTCTCTCTCTCTCTCACACACACACACACACACACACACACCCCCATATCAGACAGACAGATATATATATCTCCTGTGAAATATTTGTTTCTAAATTGAGAGAAACACTATCATGAAGTCTCTGTGTAGTCAAAGGTAATCAGGCACTTACAGAGCTCAGTGTGGTAATGGGGAAAAACATAATTTCCTGTGGTTTGACAGTAATGTGACAGGAATAGTTCCCACTGCTTTGAATAGATCGTACACATAGCTTGTCCCTCTCCATTGACACATCAAGCCATTGAATCCTAATAAAGAAATGTGACCCTCACCCAGGCAGGTGCTATATTTAAGTATAACTTCATGTGGTCCTGACTTTGCTAGGTTCTCTGAGGAATTTCAAAATTGAGCAACCATTTCTGCTCCCCACAATCTTATGGTCTAACAGGAGAGAAAAGGTGAACAGGGGAAAGGTGAAGATTGAGAAATAAGTGTTTTTCCTGGAAATTCAACATCTAAATCACAAAATCCTAACAAATGATAGATTTTCCAAAGGCTATTAGTCCAGTTCATTCCAGGATCTTGGGCATTCCTCAGAAAGGATTGCGAAAAGATAACAGGCAAGAGTCATTTCCAATCTTTGAATGCTGATTAAATATTTTATTTCATTGTGAAGGATCAGTTGGTTTCCATTACATGTCACTCACTATTGAGCTTTGGGAGGATTTGAATGTAATCATTATTGATCCACGTGGAAAAATGTCCAAACTAAAGCAAAGAAAATATCTTAAAATTCTGAGAAATTCAAACCCCTTTAGGTTCATCATGTACCCTAAACACACAAAGAAATATTTTCTTAGCATTTTCCATGCTAGAGTTAGATGGAAAGCAGGGCTCACTGACACACATCTGTAATCCCAGCTACTGGAAGCTGAGGCAGGAGGATTGCAAGTTCAAAGTCAGCTTGGGCAACCTAGTGAGACTTTGTCTCAAAATAAAAAATAAAAAGAGCTGGGGGTGTAGACCCTCAGTGGTATAGCACCACGAGTTCTATCCCCAGTAACCCCTTCCAAAAATAAGGAGTGAGATGGAAAGGACATTTTCTAACTAATGTAGGATACACAAGAGCCAGGGACTGTGTCTTATTTGTAAGTATCTATCTGTGGCAAATAAAATACCTGGAATGTACTAGACAATCAATAAGCATTGGTAGAGTAAACTAATGATCCAGTGCTCTGGCTTAATAATATGAGAATACATAGTTTGCTCTAAGTATTGATTCAAAGTCAGCACAACCGAGGACAGTGGTGAGTTAGTGTTCAAAGCTCTTTATTTTAAAAAATATATTTTAAATTGTGCTGCATAGAATGATAGTCACATGTTCAGAGGCACCTCAAAACAAGAATGTTAAATGAAGTCTCCACCAGTCAAAGGGCAAAAAGTATGTATAAAACCATCATATGTGTCCATTACTATGAGAGGCACTTTTAGACATGAAACAATACATCATGTTTGTCGAACTGTGCCCTCAAAAGCCTCAGAAGCTTAGAGTAGGGATAGCACTTGCAAGACAATGTGACTAGAGATCTAAAACACTGTACAAATATCAAGGGAAATATAAACCAAATAAGTACAGGTTTTAGAAACATGTTTTCTTCTCAGTTTACTTCTTCCTACATCTGTGCCTTAAATTTATAATTTAGCCCTTTCTTGTTACATGCAAATAAAATATAGTTGAATTCCAAATTGGTATGTTTAATTCTCTTACTGCATTGTAAGCCATTCTTAAAAATGTAATCTAAAAAAAAAAGTGAGCATTTTGGGGAGTGGTGAGGAGGGTATTTTTCTTATTTTCTTGCTAAGCTGGAGAAGGCTACAAGGTAAATGAAGCATTAAGTGCCTTTAACCTTATTAATGTTTTGAGTTTACATTCTTGAACTAAGAGAGTCTCAAAGTCTTTTATTTTTAATTTTTGCTTGAAATATGACTTCCAAATGCAGAATTCTTCCTAGTAAGTATGAAAGTTGGCCCCATACATTTAGAAATAATTAAGAAATATATATTTTTGTGTTTTGAGGAATTAGATGCTTCTGTGAGGAATTAAATAGATCTCCCTCATGCACTTAAAGGGACAATACCTAACTGATTATAAGGGATGTAAGAGGTCCGAAAGAGCTGAGAGGCAGCCTGATGTTTGCAAGGCTTTTCAAGCCTGCCTGCCGACCACCCCCTCCGCCCCCATGCACACTGAATCGTTGCACACAGCCCAAAAGCTGTGTTGTTCTGAAAGAATAAAAAAGCTTTAAGATTCCAGCCACTGAAAGACCGAAATTCACTGTTGTAATGGTTTGAGAATCTGTGAGATTTAAAAATGAAGACGGTTCTGTCCTAAAGCTGGTTTTAGTAAGCCTCTTGTTATTTTCTCTTGTTTTGTCTTTATCAATTCGAAATTTGCAGAAGTCTCAGACAAAACTGTGTGACCTTCAGCTCTTACTTAAGTTCCTTTGGCCTGTTTCCTCCAGGGTGGAAGATGCAGTAGTGAGGGTCTCCAAATGGAAGATTCTCTCATTCTAATGATAAACTTAATATTCCCTTTGTATCTGTGAAAAATACTGTCAACCCCTAGTTTTCAACTAGCAAGAGCATAAATTCCCACACTGATTCATAAATATCCCCAGCCCTTCTGGGAAGATTCTCCCTTGGGAAGAATAAAGAATCTCCCATCACATTAAAAAACAACAAACAGGCTCTCCTATCCCCCTACAGCAGTTAACTCCAACAGCCGATGACATAGGCAGAGGAGGCTGAATTTCACTGATCTCTCACACCAAGCAGCCAACATTCAGTCATTACTGGATTTCTAATCTTACTTTTTGTTTGCTGTTTTAGTTTTGTCCTCCCAGGAAAGAAAAGTCCTCTTTTCATCACTTGATCTCCTGAGTCATCCCTTTCCCTGAATGTTTTTAAACTGAGGAACACTGGAATTGTATTAATTTCTCAAAATCTTTTTTCATCTTTGCACTGTTTGAAAAATGCATGCAACAAAAACCTCTATGGGTCTGTCAGTGGCTTGGGCATTTTTCACTGGGCCTATATTCTGCCTTGTAGGTAAGAAAAGAAACTGCAAGCTTACAAGGCCAGCTTCATCTCCCTCCCGTTTTCTCCCCTTCAGCAGGCTGGGCCCTTCAGGTTGGCAGCAGCGATACATTCCCCCCCTTGCAACGCAAATAAGGGTTTCTAGCTGATGGTCTACTTGATTGTCTAAACCACAGGTACATGGTTTCCTGTGCATTTCTCAAAAGAAGTGTTAAGCAAAGGAAATGAATTTCAACCAAGTTAATAATGATCAAGAATTTGCCCCTCCCCACTTCCAAAGGGTATTTTCCTAAGTCAGCTTTTAGGGAGAAAAGGTTTGCCTTTGCATTTGCATTGTACATTTTAGCTTTGCTGATATTGAGTGAACTACTTTTTTTTTTTTTTTTGTACTGGGGATCAAACCCAGGGGCGCTTTACTACTGAGCTCTATTCCCAGCCCTTTTTTTTTTTTTGGAGATAGGGTCTCACTAAGTTCCTGAGGCTGCCCTCAAGCCTGTGATCCTCCTGCCTCAGCCTCCGGAGAAGTTGGCATCACAGGCATCCATCACCGTGCCTGCCTACTATCATTCTTAAATGTTGTTTTGGTTTAATAAAATTGCTTTTAAAAACTCTGCACCTTTCCTTACAGAACCCAGGAACCCATTAAGGAGATTTAAGAACATTTTTTACCCCTAAAAAATTTATTCTTCATTTTCTTCTTGTATGTTTTGGCTTGGAGCAAATGGCGCAAATGAGGTCTTCACTTTTTCCCACCAGTTAAAATACTCTACTTCAGATGTTTGAGAAATTCTTCAGGTCTCCAAAAAGGCAAGACCTGGCTATCAGTCAATTCCCACTGAACTTCAAAGTTAGCACAAATGTCACGGGTGTCCTGCTTATGTCCTTTAAACTCAAACATTCATTACTCAAACCAAGAGGAAGTCCTTAATGGTTAATGCATTTACTTCACAAAAGCAACTTTAAATATTGGATTCTAATTCTAAAGTAGGTAATGAAGAAGCACATGTCACAAATTTATTTTTAAAGCAGCTGTTAAAATTCATTTTTTAGTCTCTTTACCTGATTGCTTAAATAGAATTTGCTCAATGCTAATAATTGGTTAAATAACCCAAGTTCATTTTGATACCTGAGGATGTGCTATAAATTGTCACCTTCCATCTTCTCAAGCATGGGAATAAGTTCAGGGCTGGCTTATTGAAGCCCATAAATATTTCAAACTGCATATATATTGCCAAGAACGCCCTCAAACTCCTGGGCTCAAGTGATCTTCCTCCTTCACCTTCCCGAGTAGCAGGGACATAAGTACACTACCTTGTCTGGCTTGCAAATAAATTATTATTAAAGCTTTCATGTAACTCATACTAGGAATTTAATCAGCCCAAGAAAATGTTCTTCATTACTTAGTATACACAAGGCATTTCATGGTCCTGGGTGAAAGCCATATTTCTATGCTGTGAGGGAATTTACCAAATCCGCAGATATTTGTCACTTCTCAGAGGCAGGCCCCCCATTGCAAAGGTTTCTTAAGGTATCAAACCGCTCCCTTCAGACACCAAACAAGTCACACAAGCCAGGTTTTAAAACTTTTTATTTGCATATTAAAAAAATTGTGCATTCCAATAATTAAAATCATTTGAACAAAAAAAATGGCACTCTGATTAAACTGCATTTTACAGCCTGCAGGACACCTTGAAACAGCTTGGATCTTACTCTAGATTTCACCATCCTCCCACCCAATATCTTCCTTCACCAACATGCAAGTTCTTTTCTTTCTCTGCCAGCCAGACAGGCAGATGGGAGAGGCAGGCCTGGCCTTCGTTGTCAGTAGTTCTCGATTTTTTGATGTGAAAAGGGGCAGCACAGTCATTTAAACTTGATCCAACCTCTTTGCATCTTACAAAGTTAAACAGCTAAAAGAAGTAAAATAAGAAGGCAATGCTTGTGGAATGTACAGTGCATATTGGCGGTGCACGCCTCATTACGATTCGCCTGCTTGCTTCTCCTGTTCAATCGCTGTGACCGGAAAAAGACAAAAGAGAAAAAAAGATGGAGGCTAAGAGGACGCCATAAGAATCAATACTTTCATTTAAAACATTTTTGCATTTCACAAAAATTCTACAAGTGGTATGTAAATATTCCATAATAAAATAAAATATTTCTTTTAAATATATCAAATCAAAGTACATTTTAATAAATAAATGTATTTGTATATTAATATGGCAGGTTAAATATTCCATTATTAAATCACTAAAGCCCTGTGTTTGCTGGCTATAAACAATTTTTAATTAACCTTTCCAAACCACATTTATCATCATCAAACTGTCGGCTCCACCCCCGCACTCCCCCCCCTCTCCTTACAGCCCCTCCCATCCTCCTACCCGCCGCTCCCGCCCAGCCTTTTCGGAAGATGGGCGGAGGGTGCGAGCTTACTTTCTTTTGAAGGCAGAGGATTTTTCTCTTGCGTTTCTGTCTTCTTCAATTTCGACTTATCGAATTTCTCGATCTCAGCCATATCGGGTTTGTCAGACATGGTTTCGGAGGAAGCTGGAGGTACAAAGCCAAGAGGAAGACTGAGAAGGAGCCACCCACCCTCGCCTCTACCCGCTCAGCAATGCGCTTCTCCCCTCTAAGTTGCAGCCTGGAAACCCCCCCTCCCTCTTTCCTCGTCCATTCAGGACTAAAGGGATTCCTCTTTCTACAGGGAAAAAAAGATCAAAAAAAAAAAAAAAAAAAGACCTCCCCCTCAATATTTCAAAACGTGGGGGAAGATGGCTTCAAGGCTGGATTTTTCCGAGTAATGGAATTGATCATTGCGGAATGGTAAATCAAAATCCCGTTGAACAAGTAGAGAATAACGAAGCCACTTCCAAGTTAAAATGGGGGAAAATCGAGTAAAAATCCTGAAAATGGAGCCAAGGTGGCAAAAATGTGTTTCCATTTTCTGGATGTGATCTCTCCCAAAAGATGCACGGGGTCTAGTTTTCCCCTCTCACAAAGGCTGCAGCTGCGAGCGTCGGACCACCGCCCTACGCGCTTCCTCTCTCGCGCTCAACAATGCAGCCAGCGGCTCACAAAGCTGCCTCCTCACCACCCCATAAATCAATCCTGATCTGCATTAGGGACAACTAAGCATCCTTTGCTCACACTCCTCTGTAAGAAGGACTTTCAAAATTTGACGATACAGCCCAGCCCACACTAAACCTGGACAGCCCAAGAAGGCATCGGAGGCTAGGGGGATACAGAATCGTTGAAGCTCAAGGCTCAGTAGAACGTGCGTTAGAACAAAGGATCGTTCTGTTTCTGAACTCAAAAGACAATACAGAATGCCTTTAAGGGGGAAAAAATTAAATTTCCCCCTGAACCTGCACGGCAAGACGCCGGATTTTGAGGGTTTTAAAAAAAAAAAGTCAAGATCGCGTTCCTATTATCTAGCATCTGGAAGGGTTTAACATCCCCACGGTCCCCAAAACGACCTTCCCCCGGACTCGGATTTAGAAACGCCTTAATAGGGGTCGTAGATGAAGGGGTCGAGTGCTGGCGCCCAGCTGGAAGGGTCCCAAGGGACCAAGGAAGGGAAAAAAGGGCCCGGGGGCTCACCGGAGCAAGACGCCTGAACGAGAGAAGTCTGGTCTGCGAAGTGACCGCCGCCGAGTGTCGGGCGGGGCGCGGCGCACGCCGCTATATTGGCGCTCCTATGTAAATGAGGTGATGTCACCCACGAGCCCGCTTAACTCTTTCGCGCCGCGTCTCCGGAAAGGCGTCCGGAGGCCTGTGGGGCGTTTGCCACCCTCCCCCACGCCACGCGCACGATGTTCACCCGCGCACCCTAATACAACGATAGCGGAAAAATAAAATGAGCAAATGCCCATCCTGCAAATCTTCTTTCATAATTTATTTTCCTCCCTTAAGTTTCATTATATCATAATGAATTTTTTCAACTACGGTCCTAACGGCTACGGCGGACTAGCGCGTGGTAACTAAGGACCCTGTTGGTACCTAGGGGTACAGGCATTCCTTTACCGTTAAACTGGCTTTGTTTGCTTCAAGACATCCTTAAGCTAGGGTGCCAGTGACCCTCACACAAGGACCTCGCCCGCTGCAGGGGTACGATCCTCTGACTCAGCTTTTAGACCACAGGAGGGCCTTGTCCCCACCCGGTCCTCTTTGTCTTCCTCGCCTGTGTTCTCCCTTGACTTGGGTGGAAAGTGAAGAAGCCTTAAAGGATTTTTTTTTTTTTTTTAAGTTTCATCGCTGTGGCATCCATATTTTTAATTGCTATGATTTTTGTGAGCACTCAAATCAAATAACCATAGTATATGCTGAGAACAAGGTAATTTGAAATTTTATAGAGTACAATGCCTCCCCCTTAAAAAGATAAGTCAAGTTCAAGCTCTGCTATTGACTTGCTGCCTGACAATGAGGAAGTTCTTTACTTTCCTGTTCCTTATTTTCATAAATTATAAAAGCGATTGCTAAGGAGGACCGTGTTGATTTCTGAAGACTACAGTCCCATTATTTCTAATATCCTCAGGTTAAATTAAAAGTTGAACTCTGTGTTTTGAAGGGGACATTTTCAGCACTTGGACATTTCCGAAGTGCATCTGGAAAATGGAAGATTTAGGTAGAGAAGAACAGCTTTCAAAATGGCACCTGTCTTTGTGAGTAGCAGTGACCCACTTGCTCCTGAAAATTAGTTAGAAATCCCATGTCCTGTGCCTGCAAATGGCTTGTGAAATGAAAAAGTCTCATTACTTATGAAAAGGCCTCCTTGTGATTATTTCTGAGATTCAAAGCAGTGTGCAAAATATTTCTTCTCCTTTTCTGTGTCCTGAGGAAATGTTTCAGAAATCCTGCGCTATTCACTTTTATGGTAGAGGCTTTGGTCTCACTGGGGATCAGCATCGATTATTATATAGACACTTAAATGTCACAGTAGGAACAGTTAGGACTTCCCCATTTCTTGTCTACTTGACTTCCCTTTTCCTGGGGAGGAAGGGGGTGGGGGTTGAGCAGGGCAGGTGACCGTCTGGTTCCCCAGTTAGTACTCTGCTAGGTGACTGGCTGCCTTCCTGCCCTCCAAAAGGGGCCCAGGACCTGTTTCTGTATGCATCAGATGTCACCTCTCTGGTAACACGTTCCTATCATCATTACCCTATGTTGACTGGCCTGGGAGTCTACTTCATTGTTGGAACACAGAAAAGATCGTACACAGTGACTTTTTGGCCTGTTCTACTGGCAGCTGCAGTCACCATTTCTGTCAGTCCTGTGATTCCATTTCCTCTCACCCAGCTGCTGTAGTAAATTCTGTTTTTCCTCCCCACGCCTCCTGAGAACAATGGAATGCCACTATCATCTCCTTGCTGCTTCTGCAAGGACTTTGCCTTAGGAAGGGCTACCCCTTACAGAAGCCACGTCTCCAAAAGAGATAGAGGAGCAGAAATTTGTACACATCTGGAGAAATTTTCTAGTTGGTTACAAACAGCCTTCCATTGTGTGTAGATATTGATAGAAAGAGGGCCAGTGGGTAGATAGAAAGGGAAAAAGGGAGGCAGCTTGCTGAAGTTGTAATTGGCCTTGACTTGCCAATCAGTAAAGGGAATGGAAAGGGAAGGGTGAGGTAAATAAAGGGAAATGCAGACGAAAGGAATACTCTTAAAAGTTGTGTGAATCTAATCATATTAATTAATTGTTCTGACCTGAATTTTCTCATCTGTAAGATGGGTTAATCTCAGTATTTACCTCCGTGGGTTGTGGGAGGATTTAGTGCTTGGGACAGTGTGAGGTTCTGTTAATTAATAATCTCTTTGTACCTTTATTATTATTTTGTGGTACTGGGGATCAAACCCAGGAGTGCTTTACCACTGAGCTACATTCCTAACCCTTTTTGTTGTATTTTGACACAGGGTCTCAATAAGTTACTATGGCTAGCCTTGAACTTACTATCCTCCTGCGTCAGCCTCCTGAGCAGCTAGAATTACAGGTGTGTGCCACTGTACTCGGCATATCATTATTATTATTTTGAATGGAAATTTGAGAAGAAAATAAAATAATGTATGTTTTGGTGTTTGGAATTAATTAAAAGTTTTAGATCTTCGTTCATAGAAATTTAGTATCCTATTATATAGTATTTCTACATAAATAATATATGGCTATATATTGTTTCTCTGATAAAGTATCAATAAAATGTGACCTTGTATTAGTTTTACTGCAAATAAAAAAACAACATTCCTTGCTTGATGACTTCCAATAGTCGGTCTCCCAATGTAATAAGAGATTTACATTCATTTTCTTCTTTCATGCCCAACAAATGAGGAGAAATTTACAGATGGAGAAACTGAGGCTTCATCATTGGGATTACCCAACAGGTAGTCACTCTCTATTATTTTTGCTAAGGAACTCATAAAAGCCTCCACCTCTAGCCCCTGAGCCTATACCTGAGGACCACCAGAAAAATGGGAGAGGACAGGCTGCTGTTTTCCAAAATGCCTAGTAGATAACACTTGTTCAATAAGTATTTATTATACTGCTTTCAGTTGACTTTCTTAGGTAAGGAAGGTTCTTGAACCCACCTCCTGAACCTGTGGCTTTAATAACCTTGCTTTCTTCTCTAGGGAGTTAAATCCACTTAGTATCCACGTGCCAACCTTAGGGAAGCACCATTTATAAGTGAGTTAGGATGTGCTGGCCATAACCTTGGGTGGGAGTTTTAAATCCTTATTTGAAAGACAGAGACAGAGAGAGGCAAAAGAATTGCCTACTAACTAGGCTTTTTGGCACACACCTGTAATCCCAGCAGCTTGGGAGGCTGAGACAGGAGGATCATGAGTTCAAAGCCAGTCTCAGCAAAAGCAAGGAGCTAAGCAACTCAGTGAGATCCTGTCTCCAAAATACAAAAAAAAAAGAATTGCCTAACAAAGGTACTTGGTGACTTCAGGTTGCACAATGTGCTCTGACTGCAGGGCTCATCAGGGAAAGATACAGGGAAAGACGAACAAGAGTCCATGTGGCAATTGCCCTGCCTTCCTGGGCTCAGGGCCTCAGCGCCCTATGAAAAATGTGCAACAGAACCCACATGGAAGGGTGGCCCCACCTTCAAGCCAGTGTCCCCTGGAATCAGGAAGAAGGGTTAGGAGACACTGTTTTATTTTGCTTTCCAGGGAGGGCTGAGGCCAGAGTTGGAGCTATTTTCAACTATAGGGAAATAGCCATTAAAGTCAGCATTCATGAAAATGATTTCTGTTATTTTTAACCTATTTCATTTCATGCACAGCACTTACCAGAACAAGAGGAGAAGGAAGAAGAAGAGGAATGGAAACACATGGGGACAACAGCAAATGTCCTAACTCTGAATTCTCAAGCCCAGGTCCCTTTGTCTGGGTTCAAGGCCTCCTAAGTCTCCCCCACCTGCCCACAGCCACATTCCCCTGGGAGCCCTGCAGTCTCCATCTGTTCTTTCTGGTCTCCTTTACAACACAGCCTCCTTCCACCAGCTGGAATCTAAATCCCCTTAAAAACACAGCCCGAGTCCCTGTTAATAACAGGGAGTGGAAAGAAGAAAGGAGGAAAAGGATATTTAGCGCACTGGCTAGATTTGTACCTGGGCTAAGCCCTTTTATACAATGTCTCAGTCAATTCTCATCCCGCACACTGTACTAATCTGATTTTATTGCTAAAGAAACTGAGGCTCAGAGAATTTAAGTGACTCGCTCTAGATCAAACTCCAGTTCTATTTTACAAGTCTCCATCCCTTCCACTGAGACCCATCTCTGCCTTCTGGTTAGCTGAAATAGGTCTTTCTCCAGGATTACCACCATGTCAGCTCCACGTTGTTCTCAGTACCCTGGAACAAAGGGTTCCCCTGTGAGTGTGAAAAAAATGACTGGAGATAACGGGGAAGCCAAGAAGAGTCCAAGAACACCCGGTCAAATGTTGAATGTGGTGCTGCAATTGTCCTGTTCCTGTTATTGATCTGATGGAATCTCAGAGCCAGTTTCCTTTCTGTGGCTGGAGTTCGCCTCGGCAACATCCCCTCCAAGTGGTTACTCAGCCTATAAACAGCCAAGGGATGATTTCAAAGGCAAAGAATATTTGAGTTATACAGGGGGCAATGAATCGCTCAGCTTAGCAGGGGCTTGCATAGGATGAGAGGTGACAGGGAATAATGTTGAGAGGCAGGCAGGGCCAGGTTGTAGAGTAATAATAATACCAATCAGGGCATAATTATAGCAGTGATAATAGCAAGCTTTTTTTTTTTTTAGTTCCTTCCACACACTGGGGAGCTTTCCAATGCAGGATCTCCCTAATCCTTACATAATGGAGGACAGAGGCACCTTTATTTTCCTCACTTTGAGATAAAGGAACCCTAGGGAGATTAAGCAACCTACCCAAGGCCACACAGTGACAGGGCTTGAACTCTGGCTGGTTTGGAATCTGCCTCCTTTAAATATTACATTTTTTTTCTAGAAGCCTACAGTCTGTCGACTTTATTCTATAGGCTTGATAGAATGAAACTATAGTCCATCTTCATAGATCATCCAGTTTAATGTCATTAAAAATTTAAAGCAGGACTGAGGGTGTAGCTCAGAGGTAGAGCACATGGTTAAAATGTTTGAGACCCTGAGTTCTATTCCCAAAAACAAAAAATGGGGGAAAAAGCCTTTAAAACATAGATACTATAATAACATATCATGTGCATCAAATATT